AGCCTGATGCCAGGCTTGAACTCACAAACTGTGAGATCATGACCTGAACAAAATCAAGAGCTGGACATTCAATTGACTGAGCCATCCAGGTGCCCCAAGATTTCATTCTTTTTTAATGGCTAGGTAATATTCCAGTGTGTGTGTGTGTGTGTGTGTGTGTGTGTGTGTGTGTGTGGGTGTGGGTGTGGGTGTGTTTGTGCCACATCTTCTTTATTAATCTATTGGTAGACACTTGGGCTGCTTCCATAATTTGGCTCTTGTAAAACAAGGCTGCAATAAACAGGGGTGTGCATATCCCTTTGAATTAGTGTTTTTATATTCTTTGGGTAAATACCCAGTAGTGGGACTACTGGATTGTAGGGTAGATCTATTTTCAATTTTTTGAGAAATCTCCATACTGTTTTCCACAGTGACTACATCACTTTGCATTCCCACCAACAGTGCGTGAGGGTTCATTTATCTCCACATCCTCACCAACACTTAGTATTTCTTGTGAAAACAACATATTCCTTTAAGCATACTCAGAACCTCAAAAAATTGTGTGGAAGGCCCCAAAGGAAATTTGAAGAAATTCCTTTTCCCTATAAGTTGATAAATTACAACTGATTCATTGATTATAATGCAGTAAAATTAGACAAGAGTTATGAAAGAGAGGCAAAAGTCAATTTTTACACCAACTAAATAACATTTGGGAAAGGAGGAAATAAGTGTAAGTGATGAACTATTTCACATGAAACTCACAGTGCATGGCCAAAGCAGGAGTCAGCAATCATTCTTAAGGTTTGCTTTTCTATATCAGCATTAACTTTTAAAAAATTTAATGTGTTTTTTCCCTCAGTGTAAGATATTTTCACTGCTCAAAAACTACAGAAAAGTATATTCTTCCATCCTTATCCTCTCTGCCTGGCCAAACTCATCCCTATAGGTAACTTAAAAAAAAAAAATCAGTCTTTGGTTTATCTTTTTACACAATGAGGGAAATACTACATAAGTTCTTTTTCCATTCTCTTTTATGCAAAATCTTGCCTACTGTATCAGATGTTCTCCTGTTAACTAAGATATTAGATTTTGTGTTGAGAAATTCATTGATTTCTTATTATTTTAAAATCAGAAATGGGTGTTGACTTTGTCAGATGTTTTCAGCTTCTGTGGCAATGGTCAGGTTTTTTTTTCCCTTAGAAAAAATTAGTATCTTTAGTATCTTAAATTATTATACATGACAATGTATCTCAACTTTGGTTGATTTTCCATCCTCATTTATCAACAATTGTAAACATTTAAAACATTCCTTATAGTTAGATCTTCCTCTCCAGGTAGAAACACATCTAGTTCCTCTTTGGTATTTCTTGTGTAACGTGTTTCAGAAACTTAGAAATATACCAAACGAAGACTAATATGTTTTCCAAAGTGACTTTCAAAGAATAGATTTCCCATGAATTTATTTGCTTCTCTCATTCCTGAACTGTTATGTTTTAAGTTTGAAATTTGGGCTTTCAAGATGATCTGCTTCCTTACCACTGCATTTCGGTACTTAGAGATACTCGGCTACCAAGTAAAAATGTTTAAAGAAGTCTTTCCTCTTACATATTCACCTCCACATAGTAATGTTCCTATTTGGGACTCGAAGGTAAAGTAGAAAATGAGAGACCATTTCTGGTTTTGTTTGGGGGACTATAGGTGATTAACATGGTTAAATCCAATTTATTCATCTTTCCAGGCCTCTAAGCATATGAAAGCTGTATGGATCAAAGTTGTATCTTGTTCCAGGCATTTAACTTTTCATTATTTTCAAAGATTGAAAATTTGGCATTTAGTAGCCATAAATTAAAAAATGAGCCACATGTGCAACCAAATCCAAGCCTGAGGTCGTGTTTCCATACCTACCGGCATGAAGCAGTTTCCAAGACTTTCCCCTCCAGCCTCTCCGATTCACTAACCATTTCTCATTCTGCTGTAGAGGAAAAGGCTTTAACTAATATTATTTGCAAGTAAGAATTATTTTCAACATGTCCATGCAAAGACTAGGGCACACAACAAAGTAACAATACAGTATGCTCCTCACGGGTGTCTCCTTTCTCCTTTCAGTTTATTTTTTCTTATTCATTGATTTTTCTCTACCTCCTTTGCCCTCACAGTTCTCTGTCTGCTTGTCAGAAACCTTCTCTAGCAGCCTCTTCTATCTCTATTTGTGTGGAGTTGGTCTGCACAAATTCCACACGGCATACTTCAATTGCTGGGTATACTGTGGTTGTTATATTTTGTGTACCCTGAAAGGCTTGGGGGTTTGTTCCACATAGAGTTTTGAGGAGCCCTTTCTCTTAAAAGTATTTTCAAAGCAATTATTTCAGAATGGATATGTGTTTGCTTCAAACTACACAAGAAAATTTTGAAGGGACTCTGGGAGACATCATGATTAGATTATAGATTTGGGAAGTACTGACAATTGTCTAACCCAGCACAGATAGGCACAGAGCGGTTGAGTGACTTGCTTAAAAGCACATGGGAAAAAGAAACACATGGAGGAAGAATAAAGGAAAGGCTTGCATGTGTTCTGATCTGAATTAGTGACCAGGAATATAACTCAGATCTTATTTTTAATTCATGGCTATTTTGACCACAAGAGGAAAACTGGTCAGCCTGAATTGGAAGGAAGGTCAAGTAAACAGAGAAAGTTTTGTCCTCAAAATATACCTCATTGTCCAGCTCATTGTAAAAAAATAAATAAATAAATAAAGGTCATCTATCATTATAGATGTTATTGCTTGATTCCTCTTCCCAAGGCCTAACCACTATGTCTTGGCTTCTTTTTCACCCATCCTTTGCCATTTCTGAGTATTGATTGCCCAATCAATGTTCTGTGGACCTTTTCTGCTCCCTTTAGGCTGAATTGAATCTTTTATTGTTATTTTTTATTAATTCATTGGCAGAATGTTTTTTCCACATTTTAATAAGAGCTTTGGCTCTGAAAGAAGTATTTATTATACATATAATTTAGCTCCAAAGGAAACTAGAAAAAAAGCAAACTGGAACGAGAAATTAATTTTCAATTTATAGGGATATTAACAGATGAAGTATGGTTAAAAAAATGTCCTGAAGTAAAATAACCACACTGCCATTCAATCCTTGCCATTAATGTGGTTTGTCATAATATCAAATTAAATCCATTTTTAAAAATGTTCTGTGCTCGGGGTGCCTGGGTGGCTTAGTCGATTAAGCGTCCGACTTTCGCTTAGGTCATGATCTCGCGGTTCGTGGGTTCGAGCCCCGCGTCGGGCTCTGTGCTGACTGCCAGCTCAGAGCCTGGAGCCTGTTTCAGTCTGTGACTCCCTCTCTCTCTGACCCTCCCCTGCTCACGCTGTCTCTCTCTCTCTCTCTCCTAGAAATAAATAAAACATTTAAAAAAATTAAAAAAAAAGTTCTGTGCTCTTTTAAACAAAATTTTTTTTCTAAATTTTAAGCAGAAGGAAAAAGTCCATTCAAGGTAATCAGTATTAGAGTACTTAGTATTTGTCAGGCACTGTGGTCGGCCCTGAAAAGGGTTCTAAAATGAGTAAGCCCCTGCCCTTATTAGCCTGGTGTGTATTTGTCTTTCACAAAGTCTTTGCACAGAAAGAAGTCTGTGAGGGAATCACACAAATTCCTACACTGCCCCTTCATCACTAGGTCATAGGAGTCATTTGACACCCTCAAGGTCAGAAATGCCTGCCCTCCTGGAGTGTGTGTGTGGGAGAGACAATAAGCAAATAAGCAACATTTGTGTTAGAGAAAAAAAAGAGGAGCCTTAGGAAGTTCTTGGCATGGTGATGTTGCAATTTCAAATACAGTCGCCAAGGAGGGTCTTAGAAGGGGACCTGAAGTACTGAGCTGGGTGAAATGAAGATGTGAGACAAGAAGACATGTTTATTGCAGGGCATTCCAAGCACAGAGAACACCAAGTGAAGGCCCTCAGTTGGGTGTGTGCCTGGCCTCTTCAAAGATGAACTAGGAGCTAAAATACAAGTGTGGCTGGAACTGGTCAACTAGGGAGACAGCAGTAGGAGAAAATTTAGAGAGTTAAGAAGTGGAGAGACTTTGGGTTTTACTGGAGGATTTTGTTGAGCATAGGAGTAACATGATCTAATTTACAGTTTAGGTGGATCATGGCCAAAGCTGATAATAGCCAGAAGCAGGAATACAAGAAGCTATCACAATATCAGGAGGTACTGACTGGAGAGAGAGAGAGACAGAGAGAGAGAGAGAGACGGTCGTAATGGAGAGTATGGTGAGAAATGGTCGAATTGGGCAAACATTTTGTTAGTGAAGTCATCAGGATTTGCTGAAGAATCAAAGGTGTGATGGGAGAGAAGGAATGAGGCCCACTTGCTGCCAGCTTTGGAAACCGGTCACATTCTCAGCAGCATCTTTGCAAAAGGTGGAGATTTTTAAACGTCCTGGTTTTACGTTTTCATCTCCGACTGTTTATTCAGTATCTCCAGGATCGTGGCCCTGGAAACAATACACTTAAAATGTTTCTCTGTGATTCTTCAGCCAGTTTGACTGGAGCTAATGAAACCTGCTGGCTTCGGGCTCACTTGAGTTCCATGAAAGAGGCTACACACATTGAGGGTACAAATTGCGAGCACAGCGCTGTGCAAAGTATGTGGGTAGGTGATCTCGTGAATGTACAGATCAATCCTAATTCCCTCCGATCCCTCTCGGAGAAGAGAAACACTCAAAGACACCTGAGGTAGGTCAAACCAAGCACGGAAGGCTTCCTGGAGGAGGCGGATTTTGAAAAAGGCTTTCTCAGACCTGTACCAGGAGGGTAAGAGGAATGGAAAAGAGAATGCGGCGTGGCTGAGGTGTGACGAACGGCACACGCCAGAACTCCGGCTGTTTGCCATTCCCCGGACTTCAGTAGCCGCGCCTCAGGCGTAGCTCCACTAAGGCCACGCCCCCTCCAGGGAAGGACCGCCCATTTCCCCGTCCGCCACAGCAGCTCGGGTTTCCGGAAGGTCCTGATTTTAGAGCGGACCAAACCGGATGGAGGTCGGGTGCCCTCTTCCGCCCGTGTTCCGGTTCACTGAGACCCCGCTTCTGAGTGCGGTGGGTACGCGTCGTCCTTTGGCGCAGGCGCGGTGTGCGGTCCACGCTCGCTGCTATGCCCGCCGGGCACGTCTCGCGGGTCCGCGCCTTGTATCGGCGCATCTTGCTGCTGCACCGGGGTCTGCCCCCAGACCTCAAAGCCCTTGGTGACCATTACGTGAAGGACGAGTTTAGGAGACATAAGACCGTTGGTTCTGACGAGGCCCGGCGTTTCTTGCAGGAATGGGAGGCAAGTGAATGCCACCTTTTCTTTGCCCCAGACCCTCAAAGGTGTCCCGTTTGTCCCTGTGCGAGACCGCCTGTCTCTGCTGGTTTCCCCCGGGCTCCACGCAGGGTCCAACAGCGGCAGCCTGTTCCGTTTGAATTCAACAGCACAAAGCTGTTCAAACAGTACTTCCCAAAGTTACATCCCGTGCGGGTCCGTTTCTGCCACCGGTTCCTGGCGGGAGCAGATCTCGTTGCATCAGCGTCTCCAAAACAATTCATCTTGAACTCGTGCTAGGCTCTGGAGGGGTGAGGATGGGAGGTTACAAAACTGAATAAATCACCGTCAAGCAGCTTTCTGCCTCGCCAGTGCCTTGCACGTAGCAAGCGCCTATCAGTAAATTAATGATTTTCTCGTAACCGAGTTTTCAGACTTAGAGGCTTGTTTCCATACTGTTTTTTAAATTCCCGTGCTCTTCCGTGGGTCTCAATAATGTTCTCAGTTGACTGATACAGATATCAGATACGACTGCAAGCGGTGGAGGAGAAAACTGCTCAAAGTCAGGTGGAAGTTGGTTTCTCGGGAATTTCAAGTTCCGTTAGTTTGTTGCATTGCCCTGTATCATTGCATTAACTCTCAGACACAGCGTTAGGGATTAGCTCTTTGACTACCCATCCCTTTGTAGAGTGAGGGCATGTAAATAGAGTTTTGCCGAATTGCCCTTAGTTATGATTTGCAAATGTCAATAAATGCATGGAATTGGAAATTAGAGCGTCATCTCATGTATTTGAAAGCATGAAGCAGTGTTAGAAAAAGAGCAGAGGTAAGTGATTCTTTGAAAGCTTAAAAAGTTGATGGCTAGATTGATGTCGTTCTTTTTTTAAATTATAAAGATTATGGTTAGAGTGAACACTGAATCTCAGAATTCTTGATTGTAGCTTGCAAGACGGTTATTTAGGACAATGGTGAAATTTAGAACTTTTATAAAAATCATGTGTGTTGGAGGTAATTAGACTGCATGGAGCCAGGGAAGTTGAATCTTAAATGCAAATTGCTTTCTTTTAATATGGTAACTTGGTCTTGGAGCCAGAAGAACTGGATTCGGCTTTAGGTTCTGGAATTTATTAAATTTCACATCACTTAATTTTTCCTAGTCTTATTTTCTTATCTGCAAAAATAATAGCAGTATCTATGCACCTCTAAATTAGTGTATGTAAATTTATTTATAAGCACTTTGTAAATTGGTAATTGCAGTGAATCTGTAAGAAATTAGGGTGTTTAAGTGACATTTTTTAAAGCTAGGTCAGTTTGTGGCAGGACAGGAAGGAGACTCTAGCTCTGTGTTGAGAAGATAATAAGGGCACTTGGAGAGGTCCTAAAGTATAAGAACTTGGAAGCTTTCTAGCAAGCGTAGAAACTCAGAATGAATTGATAATAGGCTGGAGGAGAGACAAAAGTAGAAGCAACCAGGTAAATTAAAAAATGTGTTGATCAACCTAGGAGGCTTGGTATCAGGAATTCACCTCCCCCCTTTTTTTAAACCTGTCAAAGTAATTTTAGGCTTATAGAAGATTTTCAGAGGCAGTGCTGATTTCCCATATATTCTACATCCATCTTCTCCTTAATGTTAAATTAACGTCATACATAACCATGGTGCAGTTCTCAAAAATAATATAACATTAAAAAATAAGGAAGTTAACATTGTTACAGGGACGTTATCTCCAGGCCTTATTCACATTTTGCCAGTATATCCACTAAAGTTCTTAATCAGTTGCAGGATCCAATCCAGGATCCCACATTGCATTTAGTCATCCTGCCTCCTTATTTTTCTCTAGCCTATGACAGTTCTTCGATCTTTTCTTATCTTTCATGTGTTTGACACTCTTTTGAAAAATACTGGTAAGTTGTTTTGTAGAATATCTCTCAGTCTGGGTTTGCCTGATCTTTTCTTCCCCTCATGATTAGACTGATGGTGTGCATTAGTGGGAGGGATACCACGATAGTGATGTTTCTCAACACATCATATCAGAGGGCACGTGATAACATGACTTACTGTTTGTGATATTAACTGTGATCACTTGGTTAAGGTGATATCTGCCAAGTTTCTCCACTGTAAAGTTATTATTTTCCCTTTTGAAATTAGTGTATCTTTTGGGAGCATACTCTGATGATATACAAGTATTTTGTTTCTCCTTAAACTTTGCCAACCAGTTTAGCATTCATCGATGGATCTTGCAGTTGAGTTCTTGTGGTGATTTTCTATTTCTCTCATTCTCTCTGAATTTATATCTTGGAATATTTCTGTAGGTAAGCCTTGTCCCTTCTTCCCTATTATTGATGTAGTATTTTCATTTATTTTTTTGTAATGAATAAAAGTGTATTCTGTGGGGCTAGGACCCTGTAATTAATGAGTTAGCAGCTGGGTAAAGATTAGTTTAAACCTAGTGTTCTATTTGAATAAAGTAATAATTCTCACAGTTTCAAGGCAGCTCAGTCTTTCTCAAGCCTGGGAGTTAGAAGGGGGGTAGGGTGGATTCTGCCAAGAGAGCTAGTTTTTCTATTCCAAGGATGAAGGCTAGAGAAGATTCTAATGACTTGGAGGGGACCAGAACTTGGCTAGCACAGCGATACTGGCAAGTGATATCTTTCAGTCTTCTGGGTTTTTCTCTTATGTGTTATTCGAAACATCCAATTTATGATTGTTATATCTGTCGCTACTAGTTATGGCATGGATTTCTGTTGTTTTGGTTAATAATGATTATATATTTGGCACACGTGAGTATTACTAGCTTGCTACTTCTGTTTATGACAAGCTAATTAATTGAGAGTAATAAAGTTGTAGACTTACTGTTTTTTGTGGACTTTGGATTTTGATATTCTCTCATATACTTCTAAAATTACTTAAGAACTTGAATGGATCCTGAATTTGTTTTACTCTAAAGGGTAAATTTGGGTATGGGTACCACTGGGGAAAAGAGAAGGGAAAGATCCAGGCATTTTAGAGGTCCCAGCATTAGAAGGGAAGTTCTCAGTTCCTTTCATTTGTAATCAGGGAAAACTGTGGCAAATGATGGACGGAATTCATCTGGGGAACTTTTCTGTTCAAGGACCACTTAGGGGAAGGTAAGAGGAAAGTATTTCATTTTATCTTAAGGATAAAAATGTATATGCTTACATACAGAGAAAATAGTGAATTTATATATCTTACCATAAGAGGAAAAAAATGTAGGTTCAGGAAGAGATGCTGGGAATCTGTTAGGGAGAATGTTCAATATCTGGTTGGTAAGATGTTTATTGTAATCTTACCTCAGATCTTTTAGGAAGTAGCTGTTAGTGGAATTGGGGCTGGGTAGATCAGGGGTCTTATTATTGCATTTAAAAAGTTTTAACTGCTCAGTTTTGAAGAATAGCTGATTTAGGTCATACTTTCTTTTTTTTTTCCCCCCTCTCTGCCTGCCCTGTTGTGGTGAGAACTATTCACCCCTTATTTTCTGGGAAATCAGAATAAGTGTGGAAGATTAAATAGCAAGCAAAACATGCTTGTGACAGAATGTGAGATGAAGAGTGAAAAACAGCTCTTGGGACCCACTCTAAACGGATTCCATGTGTTTAATTTTTCCTTTTCTTTTTTTTCTTTCTTTTTTTTTTTTAAATGTTTTCTTTATTTCTAGGAGAGAGAGAGACAGCGTGAGCAGGGGAGGGTCAGAGAGAGAGGGAGTCACAGACTGAAACAGGCTCCAGGCTCTGAGCTGGCAGTCAGCACAGAGCCCGACACGGGGCTCGAACCCACAAACCGCGAGATCATGACCTAAGCGAAAGTCGGACGCTTAACCGACTAAGCCACCCAGGCGCCCCTCTTTTTGTTTTTTATGTTAAGTATTCTTGTAAATGTTTACGAGCTGAATGCAACAGTCTTATGAAGAGAAGAATTGTAGATGTCAGTGAGAGAAAAAAGTGAGTGGATAATTATGAAGCCACATCTCAGAAGGATTAGGATATGATCAAGAACACCGGTGGAAGTCTTGGGTTGGAGAAGAGTGGGAAGGAAGAAGATATAGTAATGGAGATTTTTGTAGATCTTTGGTAACTGTGCCAACTTTGTGTAAGTAAGCTGTGTTCTTTTTCTTTTTTTTTTTTTTGTTTATTTATTTATTTATTTAGAGCACACATGCACACGCGGAAGCAGGAGAAGGGCAGAGAAAGGGAGAGACAGAATCCCAAGCAGACTCCAAGCTGCCAGCATACAGCCTGACTTTGGACTTGAACTCAAACTCTGAGATCATGACCTGCACCGAGATCAAGAGTCGGACGCTTAATTGACTGAGCCACCCAGGAGCCCCATGTAAGCTATGTTCTGAACATTCATTATTTACTTGGAAAGCTTACACCGTGTCATGAGAGAAACACTCTGGTGTGCCGTGTGGGAAGCGGGACAATTCTAGAGTGAGCTCTTCAGGCAGCCCTGAGGTTATAAATCACCTCCTGCTCTGTAACTGTGGATGCAACCCAGAGTTGTATCACTCTCTTTTTACATTCTCTTCCTTAGAGACAATTTTGCTTTTATGGTTTAGAATATTGTTAGCTATATACAATCTCTAAACCCATGATTGCAGAAACTCCTTAGCATTGAAGTATTGGATATTTAGTAACCAGTTTTTTAATAGTGTCTAATATCCTAGACACTTTTCCCAGAACCTAAGAATCTCCAAGTTGGAAATTTAGACCGTTGGTTCTCAAGCCTGCCTGCACATTAGAATCATTGGAGGAGCTTCTAAGCAATTTCAATGCCTCATCCCACTCTCAGAGATGCTAATTCAAGTGATTTGGAGTGGGCTCAATTATTAATATCTTTTATAAACTGATTTCCCAGGTAATTGTACTTATAGCCAAAATTGAGAACCACTGACAGACCAAAAGTAAATTCCACTGATACTATTAGCAACTTTTCAATGCATCCTGTAGCATAAGCTGTCTCTTCAAACTCAGTGTGACTAAAGTACAATGCATTCCTGAGAGCAGTTTTC